ACGGATGAATAAACGGTGGTGCCGTCACTCCCTGAATCGGTAACAACTTCACAACGTGAATGCATCTCTAGAACGTGATGCCGAGCAAGAGAATCAGACACTCAACAGAACACACTAAACAATCCTCTGTTTTTTAAATAATGCACAAAAACAGGCAAAACTAATCTCTGCTTTAGAATCAGGTCGCTGAGAAGACCGTAACTGGGAGGTGCAGGGCTCCCAGGGGCCGATCGAGTTCTGCTTCTTGGTTTGAAAATACGTCAAGCTGTACTGTTACATATGCACTTATCCATATGAATCCTTCCGTAGTTTTTTTGAAGTGGGTTTTTTTGGTTTTTTTTTTTTTTTAAAGTATGTGTAAGTGCTTTAGAAAAAAGAGGGTTCCTGTTTCCTCGGCCAACGGGCATGAGCTTGGGCAGGTCAGCACCTGGGGACATCCGTGAACGCATTCCTGAACTGATACAGAATCATTAGCCCTTACAGGCAGGTGCTGTGGCTTCCAGAAGGGGACCGGTTTGCCAGGAGGCGCTCAGTGTCCACTTGCCGAACTAGCTGTATTATCTTTGTATGTGCATGTGCTGGTCAAAAACACCAGTAACACATAGAAGGTAAGGAAGCACAAGCTGCGACACAGCTTCCAGTCGGACAGGCTGGGTGCCAATCCTGGTCCTGCTCATTAGCTGGGTGACTTGGAGCCAGTTACCTCAGTTCTAGAAATCTGTTTCCTCAGCTATAAACTGGATGAAGATGAAGATGAGGAAGATAATGAAATTGTGAGGTTTAAAAGAAATAGTCCATGAGGAGCTTAGTGCAACGACTGGCATATGATAAGCAACGTGTGTGTGTATTTAATACACTCCATGTATATATGGCATTTTAATTATATTTTTATCCTTCTGATAAAGTGTGTACAACTTGCAGAATACAAATATATAAGTTAAACAGGTATCTTTCACATGGCCTGAAGACAAATATTTACAGCTCTAAAAAACCACTTACATTTGATGTTGCAAACCATGCCATGAATTTCTGATCTGCACTGTCCTGAAAATCTCAAAGGCCAACACCCCTTCCAATTAACTGCCTAGTCTAATGTGTGCCTTTCATTTGGCCCAATTTACCCATGAATTCTGAACTATTCTGAGTTCAGAGGAGTACTTAACAGATGCACAGAAAATATATTAAATGAAAAGGCTCTTTATGAAGTACAGGCAAATTACAACTAAAGCTACCATTTCATGTAGTGCAGGTTTATTCTGTTATACTATATGAACCAATGTTTCCCAAACACAATTTTCTCCAGCACGGCACTTCACAGTGTTCTAAGCTAATGTGCTGTTTGAAGAGAGAAAAAAATGAATATACAGTACAAAAAGATCTCACATCTGACTTCTAAACTCAGTTAAGATTGACAGTTTAGAAAACGGGGAGAGTTCACAGTTAATATTGACCAGATAGAGAGTAAGTTGCTTCTAGTGTTTTCTTTGACAGTTAAAAGCTCTGCAACAATACACTAAACTTAAGTGTCTGGTCTGGCCGGCTGGCCAAATGATGCATTTTTTTTTTTTTTTTTTGCCTAGCACAGAGTTTTCAAGAATCCTGAAACTGACTGCCTTGAGGGAAGCCCTGCCGCCCCAGTCAACCCCGGATATCCCAGTCCTTGACGTCTGAGCCAGGCCCCTGCTGCACTCCAGGGATGGGAAACAACACAGCACAGTGCTAT